ATTGCTGACCCTGGGTTAGTGCACTCCCCTCAGTTCCCTGCTCCCTGCACCCCGCGATGCCTGCTCCCTGCACCCCATCCCTGCTCCCTGTACCCCGCTAGTTCCCTGCTCCCTCCGATCCCTGCACCCCTCCCAGTTCCCTGCAACCCCTAGTTCCCTGCTCCCTGCACCCCCCAGATCCCTGAACCCCCCGATCCCTGCTCCATGCATCCCCCCAATTCCCTGCTCCCTGACCCCCCCCCCCCAGTTCTCTGCTCCCCTCCAGCCAGGTCAGTGCCACTCCCTGCCCTGATCCTTGCACACACACCCCCATGTCTCTTTCCCCCAGCTTGGTCCCCCCCCCCACTGACCTTCCTGCCCTCCTGTCCCCACAGCCTCCCTGACTGGCATGTGGTGGAGGTGGAGGTGACCGGCCCGTCCGGCGAGCGCAGGGACCAGGCCTTCACGGTCACCACCAGCCGCAGGAACCCAGCCTCCCCCGGCGCTGTCACCGGGGCGGCAACTTTCCCTTCTTTCTGGAGCAGCCTGCTGGGTAAGTGTGTGTGTGTGTGGGGGGGGGCTCTTGGGTGTGTATGGGGGGGCGAGAATCTGCCTGCTGGGACAGACTGAGCCCTGGGGAGAGCGACTCCTGGGGGCCACCACTGTGGGGGGGGGGGGTTCCCCCAGACCTGGGGAGTGCAGGGGCTGCAGGGACTGACTAACATCTGAGCCAAGGTGTCTTCTGTGTGTGTGGGGGGGTGGGGGGAGGGACGAGGTACCCTGGGCTGGGAGCTCTCCATGGGGTAACTGGGTTGCAGGCTGGGGGCTCTCCTGAAGAGGGTGGGTAGGGGGGCCCGGGCCCCACAGATCAGCCCCTCTGACCTCCCCTTCTCATTTCCCCTGCAGCCTGCCAGGGCCACCGAGGGCATGTCGTTTTGTGCTGATGCTGGTTTGGGGCCGGAGGGACCCGGCTGAAGCCAGTGGGGCTGGTAGTGTGTGTTGCTGGAGGGGGGGGTGTCCCCTCTGACTAAGAGATCATTAAAGAGCCGGGTGGCAGGGAGGAAGGGCGGGAAACCTTTCAAACTTGGTCCCAGAGGCATGATGGGGGGTGTAGTTCTTGCTCCCCGGAGCTGAGTGGGCGTCACCGGGTATGTAACCCCCTCCTGCAGAGACTGATGTCGGCTGTTGCTTTTGGGTTATGACGGGAACGGTACAGTAGAACCTCAGCATTATGAACACCCGAGTGATGAACTGACCGGTCAACAACACCTAGGGTGACCAGACAGCAAGTGTGAAAAATCGGGACAGGGACAGGGAGGGTAATAGGAGCCTATATAAGAGAGAGACCCCCAAATCCGGACTGTCCCTATAAAATCGGGACATCTGGTCACGCTAACCACACCCCTCCTTGGGAACCGGACGTACGCAGTCATGCAACAGCCGCAGAGACAAACCGACAAATCCAGGACAGTCCTGTGTTAAATGTAAATTACTACAAAAAATAATGGGAAAGTTTAAAAAAAAGAAAGATCTGACGAGACAAGGAAACTGTTTCTGGGCTTGTTTCATTTAAATTAAGAGGGTTAAAAGCAGCCTTTCCCCCCCCTTCTTCTGCAGAGGAAAGTTTCAAAGCGCTATGAGGTCATAGAATCTCAGGGTTGGAAGGGACCTCAGGAGGTATCTAGTCCAACCCCCTGCTCAAAACAGGACCAATCCCCAGATTTTCACCCCAGATCCCTAAATGGCCCCCTCAAGGATTGAACTCACAACCCTGGGTTGAAGCAGGCCAGTGCTCAAACCACTGACCTATCCTGTTGTAAACTTTGGCAAGAAGCACCCTGTTCAGAGTTACGGCCATTTCAGCGTCACGATCCACCTCCGTTCCCAGGGAGTGGTTCTCCTGTAGTTCATTGTAGATTGGTGCACTGCGGGGGGACGGGGGACAGGACGGGACATGAGACGACACATAGAATGTGTCTGTACAGGGAGCCGTCGTTCATAGGATCCTGTTGCATGCTGGGAGATAAAGTTCACTGCGTTCTGCTGTAAGCTTCCCGTGTGTGGGGCCTGGTGCATGCTGGGAGCTGTACCCGTTGTGGGCAGGAGCGATGGAAACTCCCTGAAAGTGGGGGGCCCACCAGCACCTGAACCGTGCCCCTCCCCCGCGCACCCTTCCCCCAAGGCCCCGCCCCCACATCCTCACGCCGCCCCTTCCCCCAAGACTCTGCCCCCACTCGCTCCTCTCCACCCTCCCCCTGTGCCGCTCGCCCTTATGGGCAGTAAAAACGGGAGGGCAAAGCCACGGCCCCCTAGCTCCCCCCGTTCCGCCGCCCCTGATTGTGGGTAACGGGAAGGGTGGGCCGAGGCCTGGCCAAAATAGAGTGACCAGATGTGAAAAATCAGGACAGGGGGTGGGGGGGGAATAGGAGTCTATATAAGAAAAAGCCCCAAATGTCGGGACTGTCCCTATAAAATCGGGACATGTGGTGACCCTACGGGATGGGCAGGCCGAGGCCTGGCCCAAAACGAAAGGGCCGCCCCCCTTCACACAAGGGGGAGGACCCACAAAGCGCGGACCAGCCCCACTTCATTCCGGGGGCAGCAAATACCCACCCACACAAATGCCAAGGAATGGGAGTGGGGGGTCAGAGGTTGAAAATCAGGGCTCCGGCTGGGGGGCACGGAGCAGCGAACCCCGACTCGGAAGAGCCGAGGGGAAGCCAGAGGGGAAACTCGCCCTGGAGACGGGGCGCAGCGAGGGATTGAACACAGATCACTGCCCCGCTTCCTGGCCTGGCGGGGTCGGGGACTGGGGGGCCACCCAGGCCGGAGGCGGGACCCCACCGGGGTGGAGGAAACGGGGGGCTGGGGAGCTGTCGTGCCAGGCGCGGGCGGGGTCACTGAGGTCAGTGGTGCATGCTGGGAATGGTCATTTTTTTTGGGGGGGGACCCCCAGACTACAACTGTAGCTGTCACTCATAGCACAGTGCATGCTGGGAGCTGCGGGGCCCGGTGCATGCTGGGAGCTGTAGTTTGTGTTGGCGCGGCGCATGCTGGGAGATGGGCTGTTCTGGCCCTGGGGCATGCTGGGAGCTGTAGTTCGGGTTGGCGCGAGGCAGGATGGGAGCTGTGAGGATCTGGCCCCGATGCATGCTGGGAGCTGTGCTGGCCTGGCCCCGGTGCATGCCGGGATCTGTGCTGCCCTGGCCCCGGTGCATGCTGGGAGACGTGCTGTTCTGGCCCCAGTGCATGCTGGGAGCTGTGGTGCGCGGTGCATGCCGGGAGCCGTGCGGCCCTGGCCCCGGTGCATGCTGGGAGCTGTTTTGCTCTGGCCCCGGTGCATGCCGGGAGCTGTAGGCCCCGTGCCCCACAGCTTGTGCCCGCTGGCTGCGGGGCGGTCTCAGGCTCTCCGGGCCGGGGGATGAGGGGCCCCCCCGGCTGCAGCAGGACCCCCAGGGTAGGTCGGGGGGAGCGGAGACGGCCCCGTGCTGCCCTGGGGGGGGTCCAGGCACGTGCTGCCCCCCCACCCGAGGGGGGCGGGGGCTGCGCCTCTGCCTGGCTGAGGGGTCTCTGGGGGGGTCACTGGGGCGGGGGTCTCTGGGGAGTGGGGGGTGACCCTTGGCTATGGGGGTGTCGTGGCCCCCCATGGCCTCGCCCCACCTCTCTCGCTCTCTCCTCCGCAGGCAGCCGGGCTCGGGGCCGCGCCGTGAGGCTGCCCCCCCCCTCCCCCACCAGGCTGGGGGGCGCGATGTCCGGGGAGCCGGGCGGGGGCCCGGGGGTGTACCACGAACGCCAGCGCCTGGAGCTCTGTGCCGTCCACGCCCTGAACAACGTCCTGCAGGAGAGACGCTTCACCCAGGAGGCGGCCGACGAGATCTGCAAGAGGTAGGGGGCGGGCGGACCCCCCACTGCCCCCTCCTGCCACCCCATGTCTCCCCCGGCGTTAGCCCCACCCGGCACCCCACGCTCCCACCCCACCCTCCCCTGCGTGCCGGGCGCTCCTGGCCCCACAGCCACCCCGGGTCAGTCACTGGGACCCGTCTCTTCCCTCCAGGCTGGCGCCGGACGCCCGGCTGAATCCGCATCGCAGCGTCCTGGGCACGGGCAACTACGACGTCAACGTGATCATGGCGGCCCTGCAGAGCCTGGACTTCGCGGCCATCTGGTGGGACAAGCGCCGGTGAGAGAGAGGGCGGGGGTGGGGGGCGTCCGAGGGGCAGGAACGGGCAGGCTGGGGCAGACCCCGCCCTGTCCAATAGCAGGGCGCTTAAAGGCTCTTGGGGCCGTGCGTGACCCCAGCCTGGCTCCTGCTGGTGCTGAGAGTAGGGTGACCAGCCGGCAAGTGTGAAAAATCGGGACGGGGGTGGGGGGGGTTATAGGCACCTATATAAGACAAAGCCCCAAATCGGGACTGTCCCTATAAAATTGGGACATCTGGTCACCCTAGCTGAGAGGCCGACGTCTGCCCTGAAATATCCTGGGCCTGGAGGATGCTCCCTGCCGCCCCGGTGCCTCTCCTTGTCCGTCTGCCTTCCCCTCCCCGCTGCGTATCCACCCATCGTGTCCCCCTCTGGCTGTTTCTCTGGCACCACCCCTCCAGCCCGTCGGTCTCGGTGTAACTGCCCCCCCCCCCCCCCCGCCGACAGGCCCCTGGAGCAGCTGGCGCTAAGCCGGGTGCACGGCTTCATCGTGAATGTGCCCTCCAACGTGTCCCTGGGCTTCGTGTCGCTGCCCGTGCGGCGTAAGCACTGGATCGCCGTGCGCCAGGTGGGAGGCACCTACTACAACCTGGACTCCAAGCTGAAGGCCCCGGCCTGCGTCGGCGGAGAGGAGGAGCTCAGGTGTGGGGGACAGTCAGGAGGTGGGGGGAACAGAGGGTGGGGAGGGGCGCTCGGGTGGGTGAGAGGTGGGGGGTGAGTGAACAGTTTAAAACTGTTGTGAAAAAAACAAACCTCCTTCTGGGCTGTATCAGCAGGAGTGTTGTAAGCCAGACACGAGAAGTGATTCTTCCGCTCTGCTCCGCCCTGATATGGTCTCAGCTGGAGGATTGGGTCCTGTTCTGGGCGCCGCGTTGCAGGAGAGATGGGGACAAATTGGAGAAAGTCCAGAGACGAGCAACAAACATGAGGAAAAGTCTAGAAAACATGAGCTGTGGGGGAAGATTGAAGAAAGGGGGTTTGTTTAGTGTGGAGAAGAGAAGCCGGAGAGGGGACGGGAGAACAGTTTGCAAGTACAGAAAAAGGTGTTACAAGGAGGAGGGAGAAAAATTGTTCTTAACGTCTGAGGTCAGGACAAGAAGCAATGGGCTTAAATTGCAGCCAGGGCGGTTTAGGTTGGACATTAGGAAAAACGTCCCGTCAGGCTGGTTAAGCACTGGAATAAATTACCGAGGGAGGTGGTGGAATCTCCGTCATTGGGGATTGTTAAGAGCAGGTTGGACAAACCCCCGTCAGGGACGGTCTAGAGAATATTTAGTCCTGCCGTGAGTGCAGGGGACTGGACTGGAGCCCTCGCCCTATGGTGCTATGTGGGGGGAAGGAGGGATAGGGGGGACCAGCAGGGGGCAGGGCTCGGAGAGCTGGTATATAGGGGGCAGTGAGTGTGTGTGTGTGGGGAGCTCAGGTCTGGGGCACGGGCAGGGGTGGCTGGAGTACAGAGGGCAGAGCTGAGGTGCGGGGGATTGGAGGGGGGATAGGGGGTTGTACAGGGGGTGGGCCGTAGGGGTATATGGACCAGGGGGCCGTAGGGGTGTATGGATCGGGGGCCCTAGGGATGTATGGACCAGGGGGCCGTGCAGGGCAGGAGCGCGGCGAGATGTGTAACACGGGGGTGCAAAGCAGGGGCTGCTCTGACCCCCCCCCATCTCCTTGTCCCTCCCCCCAGGGCTTTCCTGCAGGAGTTCCTGTCCCAGGGTCCCTGCGAGGTGCTGCTGGTCGTGTCCCGGGCCGTGGAGGAATCCGGCGGCTGGTTGAACCCAGAGTGACGCCACAGATACCAAAGATCCCGACTGTTCGTAGCAGCCTCGCCAGGGGGGCAGGACCCACACGCTGAATCAAGCTTAGTCACAGCCCCCCCCGGCGCTGGCATCAGATACCCCACCCCGCCTGCCCTGAGGAGTGCACGGCTCCGGGCGTGCTGCTCTCACTCCACTGGGGGGCCCTTCACCCCATGGCCCCTGGAGCTGGAGGCGGCACCAGGGGGCCACAGGGGAACCTGGCTTAGGGTGCCCGGCCCCATCTCCCTGCTGGGATCGGGCTCAGCTGCAAGTGCTTGCGAAGTTTATG